CTAATCCTCCTCTTTTTGCTGAGGAAGACCAGGTCTGAGCTAACATCTATTGCCAATCCTCCTCCTTTTTTTTTCCCTCAAAGCCCCAGTAGATAGCTGTATGTCATAGTTGCACCTCCTTCTAGTTGCTGTATGTGGGATGCCACCTCAGCATGGCCAGAGAAGCGGTGCGTCGGTGCACGCCCGGGATCTGAACCCGGGCCGCCAGCAGTGGAGCGCGCACACTTAACTGCCAAGCCACGGGGCCGCCCCCTCAGCTCGTCAATTTCTACAAACTGTCTACTGGCATATGGATCAGGTTTGCATTGAATCTAAAGATCAATAGAATTGAAATCTTAACAATATTGAGTCTTCCAATATGTAAGCATGATGTGTCTCTCCTTTTATTTGTCTTACTTCTCTCAGTAATTAATGTTTTATAGTTTTTAGTTTATATATAGTTATATATATAGTTTACTATAGTTTATAGTAATTATAGTTTTATAGTTTTATAGTATACAGGTCTTGCTCATATTTTGTTAATTCTATACCAAAATATTTCATGTTTTTGAAGCTTTTATGAATGATATTTTACTTCAATTTTCAATTGTTTGTTGCCTGTATGTAAAAATATAATTGATTTTTATATATTGACTTTGTATTCTGCAAATATGTTAAATTCACTTATATGTCATAATAGTATTTTTGTAGATTTTTAGGATTTTTCTCTTTATATTATGATGTTATCTGTGAATAAAGGGAGTTTAATTTCTTCTTTCCAATCATATTTCGCGTTTCTTTTTCCTGCCTTATTGCACTTGTTAGAGCTTCCACTACAATGTTGAATAGAAATGATAAGAGTGGGTGTCCTTGTCTTTTTCTTGATCTTGGGGGGAAAACATTCAGTCTTTCCTCATTAAGTGCAATGTTAGTTGAAGTTTGTTTTTTTTTTTTTGATACCTTTTATTAGATTGAGGAAGTGTCCTTCTATTACTATTGTACTAAAAGGTTTTATCATAAATGAATGTTGAATTTTTTCAATGCCATTTCTGTATGTATTGATGAAAACATATAGTTTTACTTCTTCCTTTCCAATCTGTGTTCTTTTTTTCTTCCTTTATTTCACTGATCAGAACTTCCAGTACAATGTTCAAAAGAAATAGTGAAAGTGGGCATCTTTGCCTTGTTCTTGATTTTAGGAGGAAAGCATTCAATCTTTCACTATTAAGTGTTATGTCAGTCATAGGTGTTTTTGTAGTTCCAACTTATAATGTTGAAGAAGTTCTATTCTCTTCCTAGTTTATTAATAGGCTTTATTATGAATGTTTTGATTTTTTTCCAAATGTATTTTCTGCATCTAGTGGTATGATTATATGACTTTTCTCCATTATTCTGTTAACATGGTGGATTACATTGATTTTGAACGTTAAACTAATCTTGCATTCTCAGGATGAATACCACTTTGTCATGATGTGTTGTCCTTTGTATGTGTTGCTGCATTTGATTTGCTAATATTTTGTTAAGGATTTTTGTGTATATGTTTGTGAAGGGTGCTCGTCTGCAGTTTTCTTGTAATATTTTTGTCTGGATTTATTACAAGAATAACACTGGCCTCAAGAGATGAGTTGGGAAGATTCCTTTGTTCCCCATTTTCTTAAAGCATTTATATAAGATTGCTATTATTTCTTCTTTTAATGTTTGATAGAATTCACCAGTAAAACTCTATGAGCCTGGAGCTTTCTATGTGTGAAGTTTTAACTAAAAGTTTAATTTTCTTAACAGATATAGAGCTATTCAGATATTCTCTTTTGCCTCGAGTTAGTTGTAATTTGTGTCTTCAAGGAAGTTGTCCATTTCATCTAAACCATCAAATTTATTGGCATAATTTGTTCATAATGTTTCCTTGTTATTATTTTTATCTTATGTAGAATCTATGAAGCCATCCCTTCTTTTATTTCTGATTGGCCATTTATGTCTTATTTCTTTTCTTCTTAATCAGTAGTACAGGTTTATAAAATTTATTAACTTTTCAAAGAACCAGGTTTTGACGTCATTTATATTAACTGTTTAACCATTTTTGACTTCACTGATGTCATACTTTCTTTTCTTACTGAATTGGTTAACAAATATAGTATAATGTTTAGTAGAAGCAGCAATTCAAGCATCATTACCTTGTTTCTTATTTTAAATGGACTGCTTGTAATATTTTATCATCAAGTATAACGTTTATTGTACTTTTTTGTAAACTTTATCATGCTTATGAAGACCTCTTTTATTCCCATTTTATTGGTTTTTTTAAAATCATAAATGACTGTTCTGTAATACGAAATTCTTTTTTTCTGCATCAATTGAGATGATTATTTGATTTTTCTCATTTAGTCTGTTGATACAGTGAATTATATGTTTTTGTAATGCTAACTTATGTTTGCGTTCTTGGGATAAAATAAACTTTTTCTTACAAAAATATATATTTTTATACATCATTAGATTAGACTTGCCCATACTTTGTTATTATCTGCATATTACTAAATTATCCCGAAGTTCTTCAAGAAGAAATGAAAACTCTTCTTCTTATGGTTAAACACATAGAGCAATCTATTGATCCATTTTTTCCCTTCCTAGAGAGATATCTCCTGAAGTCTCCCGTCCTTATGCTCCAATCTAGACTGAAGACTCTCCAAACCTGATGCAGTGGTTGTCCTGGGATTTCTCTTCCTCATCATCTTGGGAATTCTGACGTCTTCCTCTTTAGTGTTTCGAGGAAGGACATCCTTTTGTAGCTTCCTGAGAAAAGGTGCAAGGAAGGTGAATTTTTTTGATTATTACATATTTGAATTGAAAGTTTGCTAGGGATAGAATTCTAAGTTGGAAATAATTTTCCTTTAACATTTAGAAGACACTCTTCTATTACATTCTAACTTAGAGTGGTGCCATTCTAATTATTGCTATTTTGAATGCAAACAATTTTGAACCCGGGAAGTGTGGCTCCAGGGTCCCCGCTCTTAACCATTACATCATACTGCCTGTCCAACTTCCTTCTTGGAGGATGTACACCTGGATGCGGATATTGTGTGATGAAAAGGGTGGTGAAGTGAGGTTAGACATTTCAATGGTTCCACATAGAAATTTACCATCAATTGCCTCTTTTTGGCTCTGCACCTTTATTTACTGTTATTTAATCTTGGGCCTCGCTCTATTTTTTTCCCCCAGCAACTAGACTAAAATGGTTTGGACATCTCTCTAACTTATTTTTATTCTTTCTATGCTTCTCCTGAAAGAATGTAGGATGGGCTAACCCCTCATGGCTTGAGTATGAAAGATGCTCCTCGGCTGTGCCAGCCCTGTGTGTCTGGTCAGAGCTGGCTTTGTGATGGAAACAGTGGTGAGGTGACTCTGGGCTTGCCCTGCTGTCATGAGCAGGGCCTCTTCTTCATCTGACTATGCTGTGTTGGCCCATGCCAGTGACTGTGCCCCTCCTGCCCACACATGGGGCTGTATGCATCTCTGCAGGCTTTAAAAGTGGCACCTGTTTGTCTATCCAAGTGGTGACTTTGCAATTACCTCAACAATCAGGGAACGGAGATGATGAATCTGCGTGTGTTTTCTATGGTGTCCCTCTCATGGGAAGATGTATTTCTGTTTCATTCAACTATTTCCTCTTTTGAGCACCCCTCAGGATCTGCTAAGTCCTGTTCCTTCCTGGGGAGACCCTCCTGGGGCACATAAGAGAACATCTGCCCCTTCCATGTAGACCCCTTCAGAAGCCTGGGTTTGAAGCCCTAGCTGGGTTCCCTGAGTCCTGAGCCTGCTAGCATGGCCAGCCTTAGAATGAGTATAAATATGTCATACCTTTGAAAAAGAAGTCAATGTTATATAATATTTTTTAAAAAGGAATGGAAGAGAAACTTCCAGCTAGGATAGTAACAACCAAGCAGTACTTTTACCAATGCAGATCTTCATTACAATCGTGGGGGCAAGCCCTGTACATGACTGTGTGTTGGATCTAGGGCTTTTCTTTGTTGGTGGCTTGTGTCGGTCCTGATGCCTCTGTACTGGCACCCAGAGTTTGCCTCCATCCCTGTCTCTTCCTGGCTCCCAGGACTTGGTCAATGGAGCAGTGTGTACACTTCTGCCTGGAATCCCCCATGGATTCCTATGGACTGGGATTGAGGGTGCAGCACAAAACACCTTGTCAGGGCAGTTTGGGAATTCCACAGTGCAAGGTCCTTAGAGAATTAAATGGCAAGAGAGCACTTCCTTACCCCACCAGAGTTCCCTGTTGTCTGCGTAGGGTGGATGATACCTCTGAATGATCAACTGGCATATCCCAGTCCCTTCCTCTTGCTGCCTTCACTGAGCCTCTTTTACTTGGTGGTGTCTTTCCTTCCTGATCAGGTCACCATGTTAGTTTGTGTACTCACCAAAGGAGACCCAGACACAAGGACTTGGGGTAAAGGCAGTTTATTTGGGAGGTGATCTCAGGGTGCTCTTGTGAGGAACTAAGGAAGGTAAAACAGGAAAGTGAGAAAAGCCACGGGGGTGGGCAGCTGGGGCTCAAGCCCATTGGGTACCCTCTCAGAGCCAGTGTGGAACTCACCTCAGAACTGCCCCACTGGAAGTCAAGGAGGCTAGGGTCTGTAGCGTTTGAGTGTTGCCCTGTGGGCGTTAACTCCCCCACACTTTCAGAGTGAGCCTAACAATGACTCAGCCAGCTCCCAGGCGCTGGAGAAAGCCACCAAGCGGTGAAGAGAGATGTAGTGTTTGAGGAGGGAAGACGTCTGCCAGTAGGGGATTATCCGCCACAGCTGTAGGTGAACTCAGATTGGCCTAGGTGGAAAGAGGGCGGGGCTTCTGTGATCTCAGAGGCAAAGTCATGAGAGAATCAGAGATCAAAGGCCATAGTATTTGACATTTACTTTTCAAGCCATCTGAGGTTTGGATGTCAGACAGAAGAAGATTTGGAAGGGCATCTGATCCTTAGTTTTTCCCCAGCCCTAGATTACATACAGATTCTATAGGTTAGAGGCAGGCAGCGAGAGGGGAGGGAGCCCATGGGCAATATCCAGATGTCTCTTTGGTGCCCAGCAGTCCCCATGGAGTTCTGTGGGAGTTGAGCAACAGCCAAGAGATGGATTGTGTCCCAGTGAGGACAAACTGCCCTTCACTCATCTCCTCCTCATCTTTGGACGGGGGAGTAAGCAAACTCATACACTTGTTGCAGACAAGGGTGAGTCTTTATCCAAGACACTGTACCACCCATCCAACTCATCTGGGTGGTAACTCTCCTTTCAGAAGCCCTGGATATTCTAAGTCTGTAGAATGGGGGAGTGGTAGAATACAAGGTCCTGGGTCACATGTGCAAGGGTGATGAAAAGAGTCTCTGCCCTATGATCTACTCATACCCCCTAAAGTCCACTTACTCCCCACAGAGGCAGTTCTCTATTTCAGAAGCAGCCTCCAGCTAGACCCTGGGGGATCGGAGCAGTGGGGCATAGACCAGGAGCCAGTTCTCACCCTGGCCAAGGTGGTCTTCCCCTGCTACCCCCAGAGTATGCTTCACAGGGAGAGAAGCGGCTGCTCTGGATCACCTCTGGGGGCCTCTCCTAAGCCTCTTCACCATAAGGACCTGAGAGGTGCCCCTCCTGGGCAGGGCCCTGTGGTGTAGTCCCAGCAGACTCTTTTCTGGGGGAACTCTCAGTTGCTTGTGATGGAGCTATGAGAGAGGTGGTGGAGGTCAGGCCAAGAGGAGTCAGACGGGCTGGCAGTGGGGCCTGAGAAGGCTCCAAAATCATGGCCATGGAGCAGAGCCATAGGAGGAATTCTCAAGCTCCAGGACCATGGACCCCTCTCTAAGCGTTAGACAGAAATTACAGTGTATTTATGCGGAGGCAACTGAATCCACAATTGGGTGGCTGGCATTAGGATAAACTGAGGCTCAAGAAGTGACCAGATTCAGCACTTGTACCTTGATCCTTTGTTCTTTCTCTCCTGTCAGGTGCTTGCGACAAGGGCCCCTTCTCGCCTATTATTTTACTTTGGCCTCACCACAGCCTTGGAGATGGGAGGCATTTCCACTTTATAGGTGGGAATCAGAGACCCACCTGTAATATGTGCACAGCCACACGAGAGTTAGCCGAGCCTGTCTCCCCAGCAGTGGACGGGCAGGGGGGTGAGGTGCAGCAGATCCTGCTGCCCAGGAGCTGTGTAATCTTCGGCAGACACTTTACATCTCTGAGCCTCAGCTTCCTCACTTGGAAGACTAGGATGATTACTTCTATCTCTCAAGGTGGCTGGGAGTAGATAGATAATGCGTGTGACCTGTGGGCCCTGGTCACAGAAGTGATCAAACACTCTGGCTGCTCTAATTATCACTACTCCCCTCCCCTCACCTACTGAATTCGGTGGAGGAACAACATCTGACAGCATTCAAATCCAGCCGCAGTTGAAAGTCACACCAGTGGTCCCTGCTGTACCCCCAACCCCCACTGAAAGCCCAATCCCCAAGGAGTGAGTGCTCTCTCGTGAATTGCAAGGGTTTTATTGCTGGAATCTTCTAGTCAGACACCTGGACATGGCAGATTGCTGAGACTACTTAGTGATCAGGCAAGTGGCTTCCTTGGGGCTCCTGGCAAGGATGGCTCCATTAACACAAAGGACTTGAGTATATTTTTTCCTGCAAAGAGAAGGTCAGGAAACCTGGTGAGGCCTCAAGGGGCCAAAGAGACATCAAGCTGTACTGAACACTCACTGGACACTTCCTGGGGAGGGGCCTGCAGGCTTGTTTGGAGCATGGCCTCTGGATCTGGACAGGTAGAGGTGGATTCCTCCCAATCTCTGCACCACGAGAGAATCCCAGGGTGGGCCTAGAAGCTTGCTCCAATAGAAGAGAGAGAGGAGGAGGGGATGCCCTGGTGGGGTGGGGGCCAGTCTGGGATAGAACGGGAAGATGCTGCCGAGGAGGAACTGGCAGGGCTCCAGACGCACCTGTGGGCACCGGGGAGTCTCCAGGAAGGAGCTGACCCCCTCCCTCTGCCCCCTGGACACTTGCCCCTGAAGCAGTGGCTTGTTCCCACCACCTCTTGGGGCAGCATAGAGAGGATTTACTATGATTCTCCACCTTGGGCATCCAGACCTGGGGAGGGGAGGAGTAGGGCTTTTGGAAGCTGCCTCTTCTCCTGGCATGTGAAGCACAGAATGGTCCTCTGGGATCCAGGGAACAAGGCAAAATGAGGGTCTTAGGGGGGATAGAGTAGGGGACTTGAGGAGTTAAGGTAAAGGAACCGATGTTTGGAGAAGGGAAGGTCACAATGGTAATGGTTTGAAGAAGATCCAGACTCATGTGCTAGAGAGGCTGGAGTCAGGGAGGCCAGAGCTGAGGGCCTGACACCAAGGCCAGGTGGTGCCACGGAGACAGGAGGGTCTGGAGAGTCCCAGGCTGGTGGCCCAGCAGAACCGATCAGTCAGGGCCAGCCCAAGAGCTCAAGGGCTAGACAGCTTTCCTGCCTGGCCCTTCCCCCCATGGTTGGTGTCTGTCCCATGCTCTCTACCTCCTCATTCATGAGATTCTTTCTCCTCCCAGGTTCCCAGGGAAGGGCCAGGGTGGAGAGGAGAATGAGCCCCAGCCCCCGACAGCCCCAGCCCTGAACGGACCCCCCAGACAGGTGCCAGAGGCAGAGACACACAGCTCGACTCACCAGCACATTGAGGGCATTCTCCTTATCCTCTTCTGTCAATTTCTGATCCACGCAGTTCTTCAGGTTTTTGGCATTGGCCAATATTAGAGAGTTGTTTTGGTACTTTGATACTGTATTAATGTATTCGTCAGTGGTTCCCGTCAGGAATATATTCACATCGTTCTTCACAGCTGGGCAAATGTCACAATCTGGAACACAAAGACAAACTGACACTCCCTTGAAAGATGTGCATCAGAACACACTCTTCCCTTCCCCCTCCCAACATGCTCAGAACTGCCCTGGGAAAGTGTCGGAACCCCTGGAGAACCTGTGCTCCCAGGCCCCTATGTCCCAGCCACCCACTTCTGCCCGAGATCAGGAACAAGGCGGTGCAGAGCAGCACAGGAGCACTAGCCCGTGTCATGGTGCAGGTGGCAGGTGCTCCCTTCCCACCCTGGAACCCTTTATACCCGCTGTTGGCCCCAAAGTGGGGCAGGAGGGACATTTATCTGACACTCCTTTTCCAGCAGGTGCTGCCAGGCCTCTCTGAGGCCACAGCTTGGAATTGTCTGGGGCTGCAGAGGAAGGAGGTGCATGTGTTGGCAAGATGCTAAGTCCCTAGTCAACAAAGGGCACTGGCTCAGCCTTGGGCTCTGTCCCAGGGTCAGCTGACAGGAAATGCTTAAGAACTGAAATTTCCCAGGTTGAGAGGCGAAAGGGGCAAAAAGTCTCCCAAATCAGGACTCCTGAATGATGGCCAATGTCAGCCTGTCACAACTGCAAATGACCTTGAAGACAGTCTGGTCTCGACTTGATGGATTTTTCAGGAAACTCAGTGTGTAGCTGAAGGTCTCACAGCTAGTACGTGTTGAGGGAAGGCCAGAGCACAAGCCCTGACCCCCTGGTCAGGCTCCCTGGTGGCTGCTGCCCTGCCTGCTTTCATCACAATCTCTGTCCTTGACCTGCTCAGGGGCCTCCCGTGAGCCAGTCCCCTGAGCCTGTTTCTGGAGCCCTGAATCCTCCCGCACCTGCTGGCCCAGAAGTTCTAGATGTCTGTTGACCAAGTCCTGCCACCTGGTTACTTTGATAGCACCTCAATCTGACACAGAAATATAATTTTTCTCCAACTTGCTTCTTTTGAGTTTCTCTACTGTTCACACCACCATTCCTCCACAGCTATGACCTGAGGAAAACCCAAGCTCCTTCTATGGCCCACAGCCCCTGTGCGATTAGCACAACCGGTGCTTGCTGCCTCTCTGAACGTCTCTCTGCCATTCTCTCCTCCCTCCCTGGCCTCCTTTCTGCTTCTTGACCACGCTAAGTGTGCTCCTGCAGCAGGGCCTTTGCACGTGCTGCCCTCACTGCCTGGAATGCCCTTCTGCCAAGAAGCTGCATGATTCGCTACCTCCTCAGGTCTCTTCAAGTCTCACCTTATCAGAGAGGTCCCTGCACTCTAGACCCCTCTATCAAAGGGCAGTCCCCCCCAGCACAGCACTCTCTGTTCTCTGCTACTTCATCTTTCTCCACAGCACTTCTTGCCATTTGTTGATTGCCTTCTGCTCCCTCTTAGATGTCTGATGAGCTCCCAGAGAGGGAGGGCCTTGCTGCGCTGCTGCTGCCTGCGTGGGACTAGGCAGTGGCTGACACACAGTAGGTGCTTCACAGATGTTTGTTAGATGAATGGGAAGAATATCCCGTTTCTCTGGAGTCTATAAATGAGAACATTTTTTACTTACCCTTGATATATGTGTGTTTATGAATATTGCCTGGGATTACTTAAGTAAGGTAAAAGTTTTAAATATTTTAAGTCAGAATTAAGAAACTTTTGGTGGAGCCACTTGCCTGGCCTTTTCTCTGAGTCATCTGTGATAGAACAAGTTTTGTTGAAGCCCAGAGTAGAAGGGAGGATACAAGTTTTCTAATCCTCCTCAGAACCCTGAGCCAAACAGGATTCACATCCGGTAACTGCTCTTGGCAAAGAGGCAACAAGTACTGAGCCCCAGCTGTCAGTTGGCCACCAAGGAGCCACTCCTTGCCATGGCTACTGATGCCCAAGGGCCATGCCTCTGAAGGTCACCCCGTGAGGGGCTCAGTCACTGCAGATGTCTCTTAGAGGTTCATGGGCACCTGTTAGCCCAGGAAAGTGAACACCATATGCCCCTGGCCGCACATGCTTGCTCTTTGTCTACTTGGGACAGAATTTCAGTGCAGTGGGACACTTGGGCGAGGATCGCATCTCCGCTGTCCTTCACAAGACACCTCCTTCAATCTTCTCCTCAGCTCTGATGCTGAAGCAGGGCTTGGAGTGCTGAAGTAACACAGTTAGGATGCTGTCAGTCTAGTCCCAGTGTCCTTCTGACGGTGCCACAAGACCATCTGAGATGTCTCCAGGTGGTGGGGACATCTGGTGAGGCCGGGGGGATTGCCAATCAAGGTCAGCGGAGGAGTTGCAGCATACGCAGCCCTTTCCTAATGCAAGTTTTTTTTTTTTTTAATAAACTTTAATTTTGGGATAATTTTAGATTTACAGAAAAGTTGCAAAGATATGTCAAAATCAAGAAACTGACATTGGTACATTACTATTAACTAAGCTCCAAACTTTATTTGGGTTTCACCAGTTTGTCCATTAACATCCTCTTTGTGTGCCAGGATCCAATCCACATCCTAAACACACCGCATTAATCATGTCTCCCAGTCTCCTCCGGTCTGTGACAGTTTCTCAGTCTTTGCTTGTTTGTCATGGCCTTGTCAGTCTTGAGGAGGACTGGCCAGGTATTGTAGAATGTCCCCCCAAGCTGAGTTTGTCTGCTATTTTTCTCATAATTTAGACTGAGGTTCAGACTTTGGGTTTTTGGGAAGACACCACCACGTTGAAGTGCCCTTCTTGTCACATCGCATCTGGGCATACGTGATATCAACGTGTTTTTCCACTGGTGATATCAGCCTTGATCGCGCGATCAGTTGTGTTGGCCAGGTTTCCATGCTCTTTTCCCCTTTCCATTCTTGTCTTTGGAAATGAGTTGCTATGTCTAGCCCACTCTCAGCGGGGGCAGGGCGGTAAACACTACCTTCTGGAGGGGGAGTCTCTACATATATTATTTGGAATGCTTCTGTAAGGAATATTTGTCTCTTCTCCCCCATTTGTTTATTTATTAAATCATTTATTTACATCAGTATGGACTCACATATATTATTTTATACTTTGGGTTGTCATTCAATACTGTGTTATTTATTTTGTTGCTCAGATTGTCCCAGATTTGGGCATTGGGAGCTTTCTCAGACTTCCTTCTGCTAGAGTTGTCATGGATTATCTCATCTTGTTTGGGCCAACAAACTACTTTCCTGGAGTAGAAGGTTGAGTTTAACTCTTGAGAAAGTTTAAGCAGCCGGAGTGCCACTTCTGGTCGACCCAGCTCTCTGGTCTATAGAAGTCCAGCCCACAGTGGCCTGTAGGGCTGTGGACACCTCAGAGTCTCTGACACAGGAGACAAACTGCACAACCCCACAACAGCTCACTGATGTTTCTGGGTGGGCTATGTAGTCCAAGCCCCTCTTGGGGCCAGGTTCACTGATGGAGGAGTGTGAAACAGCCAGAGAGGATAAGGCTGGAGCCACTGGGAGTCAAGAAGTTGCCCAGGAATTTGCTCCCTTAAGGGTGAGAGGGAAGCTATTGGCAAAATCCAAAATTGGAGTGTTACCTGAGAAAACCCACATGGCCACAAGTCCTGTGACTTCCCTGGTAGGGAGTGATTCAGAGCCCAAAGATGGTGTCCACCTGTCCTCGGGGCCCGATCCAGAGACTGTAGCAGCTAAGATGTCCAAGGGGCTCCAGTCAGGCCCAGCTCCCCATACCTGTCTCCAGGACTTGAACTTAGGCAAAAGTAAGTTTTCTGGATGATCTTTTGTTTACCTATAGTGGCGTAGACCTGTTCTTGACCCCTCCTGTGATTTTCATCTCCCATTTTGGGAAGGTATTGTCTTTGGAGCCAGGATAGGTTGGGGGAAGAATGACCAAGAAGCAGAAGTGACTTTGGGGCTGGGACAACAGAACATTAGGCTCAGGATGGAGTCAGAAATGTCAGCTTGACGTGGCTCAGAATGGAGTCATTTAGAAATGTCAGCTCTGATCGGTCTTTGGCAAAGGTAAAACCACATCTTCTCCAGGAGCTTTGCTCTCAGAGTAGGAGGGGCTTCTCACATTTAACACCCCAACAGCCGAGGGGAGCCACATGTGCCAGGCCTCTGCCCATAGGCCTTTGGAGCTCCTGGGAGGGGTGTGGGCGGGACTCAGGGAGCTAGTAGTTTATAAAGAAGCGGAAACCCTGTCCTGAGCAGAGCATTCTAGCAGTTGACACTATGAAGGGGACACTGCTTATGCTGGCCTTGCTGGTGACCAGAGAGCTGGGCATTGAGATGGGTGAGAGTGGCAAGGAGGGAACAGATGGCCTTCCTGATCCTTGCCCCACTCTATCTCACTCCACCCCCTCACGGTGATCTCCGATCAGCTTCTAGTGACAGATTTAGGGGGCAGCTGGGAGATCATTGCCCAGGAGTCCTGCAGAAACTCTCTGAGGTTTTCAGGCTCTGAACGGAGGAGAGGTTTGGAGACGGAGGGGTCATTGGTTGTGCACACAGTAGGGGGTGGTTAGTTGGGGTAGTGGTGCTTATTTGAAGGGCAGAAGCAGGCAGGCTGGTATGCCTGAGGGCAGTGATCAGGGCCAGAGGGGTCTCTAGTCCTAGCCCCTCACACTGCTCCCTTCTGCTGGAAGTGCCTCATAGGGAACATTTTTTTCTGTCTGGGATGTAAGCAGTCCAGGGAGAGGGAAGATCTCTCTGGAAGGTGAGTCAGGAGACACTGGATATGTGAGTAACTTTCAAGTGGTGAGGAAGCGGAAACCTCTTACCTTGGTGATTCCTTTGACGGGGTGTTTTCTGTCTGTGTCTTCAGTGGAAGCTTGCCCTATTTTTTATGAAGTCTTTGGCACGGTGGCCCTTGGAGACGAGACACTGTTGAACGTCTCCCTTGATCTGGTCAGTGCTACTGAACCGGAAAAAATAGCCATAGGAAAAATCCAGGATTGCTACAATGAGGCGGGACCCGTATCCAAAATCTTGGATCTGATCGTCATGGTAATCTACCCTCTTTCCCCTCACCCCCACCCTGACACATACAAACAGAGTCTGCAGTCAAGGGATACACAGCAGACTAGAGCTACAATCAAGCACATAAACCTTTGCTCCACCCTCCAGCACATATAATACGCAACCACCTGCCACGTGCGCATCCAGCCTGTTCTTCTCCCACACATGTCCCTATCATGCCAATTAGCTCACACACAATTGGAAAATAGGAGACTAATATTAGGGCAACACAGAAAGTGTGTTGACTCGTGTGATTGTTTTCCAGGTTAGGGGAGCTGGCATTGCAGGAGTAGAATTTTAACCTCTGGTGGGAAAGAAAGAGTTCAGTCCTGGCACATGTAGGAGCCATCAGCTCTACTTTAGAAATGTTTAAAATGAGCACCTGCCTTTAGATTCTTCCCAGGAAGGGACTCCCTGGCTTGGTAAGGCTTCTGGCTTTTGGCCTGTTTCACTTCCTCTTGTGTCCACCTTGATAGTCATTCCTCTGGCTCAGAGCCCCACTTCCATCTGTATTGTCTCGGTACCTACAAGCCAGAATTTCCTCTCTGTTGTTTTAGTGCCTGAGGCCCCTGAGGCATCTTCTAGCTACATGCAGCCGCTCACCAGGGCAAATGTATCTCCTGATGAACTGTCTTTTTTTCTTATTATTCTTGTTACACAGTTACGTAGATTTTGAGTAGTGTATCTCTTACCCTATTTTCCCCAAAGTGCTGATTCTGCAAAATGAAGCAGAATTTCTTGCACTAATGTAGGCACACAGGGCACACGGGCTTGTTCACAGAACGTGCACAGAGGTTCCATACATCCAGTACACCTGACAGATGAATCGCAGGTAGAAGAGACATCATGTAAACCCAGACTCAGCCACCTTGCCCCTCTCTCAGGCCCAGCCCCCACCATGCCTTCCAGAACCTTCTCTTCTCCTTCCCTCCTGTTTAGACTCTTTCCTGACACCTGTGCATGGGTGATTAGGGAGCCATCCTCCTCCTGGTGTGACTGATCTCAGCCCCTCTCTAGTGGTGCGCCCGTGGGCCAAAGGTTCCTGCTGGGGACGGAGCTAAATCACCAAGGATGAGGAGTGGGGTGGTCTGGGGAGACGGGATAGCCCTGCCACGGGCTCAGTTCCTCTGTCCTTCCTCATCCTACTGTCTCTCAGAGTACCATCACCACCAGCGGCGAATGCATCAGCCACGCAGTGGACACGCTGACAGATTTTGAAGAAGGCCTTCCCCAGCTGATCCCTTTGGGGAGATGAATCTTTGTCACTGATGCCCGGGCTGAGCTCTATCTTCCTGCCCTTTTCTCCTTCTCACCTGAAGCTGGAATCCAGACACCTGTCCCCCTCGATGCAGTCATCACCAGGTTGATTCTAATAAAATAACTGCAGCTCTGCTCTGTGTGCCCAGTGTCTGTGTGCTGTGTGGGGACTATGTGAGGCCTGGCAGGAGATCTGGGAGATGTTGAGGAGAAATGATGTGTATGGTCACTGAGGGCATGGGGACTGGAGTCAGACAGAACCAGGATACATCTAGGCCCTGTCACTGACTAACTGTAGGGCCATGGGCAAGCTGTTTTATCTTTCTCAGGCTATTTCCTCATCTGTAAAAAGGGGATTGTGTATGAGGATTAAGTTAAATAACATATATGTAACCCCAGACTTCACCAGCCTGGAAGGATAAAAATGTTATTAACAGCCACGGATAACATATCTCTAACTCTGTCCTTTATCACAGTTGCAGACCTGTAGTCCCTTAAATGTCACTCTGGTAATTGAAGAGTGACTCTGGAGATGATCTGAGTGGGCTTATCACAAGTCCTTTCTGTCTCCCAGTGGCATTCACCATTTTCTACTTCTTAGGTGGATGTCTTCTGAGGAAGCTGACCTTTCTGCAGGAATACTTAGTACCACTGCTGTTCTTGGGTTCTGCCACTGGGACCAGGACCCCCATGCAGTCTTGGCCCAGGAGGAGGGGAGAAAAGGAGTGGATGGAAGAAGCTAACCTTGAGGGAATGCTGCTGTCATGGAAAGAGCTCAGGGTCTGAAGTCTTACTTGCTGGATGTGCCACCTGGGGCAAGTGTTATGAACCCTCTGAGCGTGCCTCCAAAAGCATCAGATGGGTAATTGTATAACCGGTAGGCGACTTGTGAAGCTACAGGCAGGGACTAGGTTTTACCTCTGTTTCCTAGGGACTAGAGCAGTGTCAGGCTCCACTGAGCATGGCCCACAAAAAAAGTGGCATCACCAGTAACATCTCTCTACCCTTCCTGGGCCAGGCATGCACAATAAGGTCACTCACAGGGAGATGAACATGGGACTTGGGGCTAAGAGGCCAGGGGCTTGAGTTTGACCTGCTGGCTGAACTTAAGCATTTTAATTCACCTGGTTGCTCATTCCACACCTTGATTGTACATCTACCAAGTGCTGGACACTTTGCTAGACTTAATATTAAGAGTTCAAGTCATACTAAGAAGGTATAGAATGTTATGGAGAAGTACAAAATAAAATTTGACCTGATAAAGGGCTAAATCATACCCTTGTATGGGATGAATTGACCTTGTAGAAATGTCAACTATTCCCAAATCCATAAATAAATTAATCTTTGTTCTAGTGAAGACTGATTTAAAGTTTATCCAAAAGAATAAATGCTTGAAATCAACCAAGAAACTTTAGAAAAACAAGAACTATGAGCAGGATCTTTCTCACCAGGTATTACAACATAGGTATAAGTCTACAACTAATAAATAGTCTAGTTTTAGCAGAGGAATAGATTGATGGTTATTGTGAGAGAAGAGAAATCACACAAATAGACTCAGAGATAGCTTAAGATATAATAATGACAGCTTATTGAATGGAGACAGAATGGATTGGTTTTTAAAATTGCATTGAGAAAAATGGCCAAATGTTTAAAAAATCAAGATGAACCTGCCAAGGTTTTCCCTATAGATTAATGTGGATTAATGATTTAATTGCCATAGTTCCAATTGTTAATTATTTATTTGTCACAACTAATCTCTCTCTCTCTTAGTTTGACTCTCATGGTATCACAGTCTCTTGGTTTTTCTCCTACCTTCCTGGGGGATCCTTCTCACTTCTTTTATGGTTACTTGTGTCCTATGCTAGGGATGATGCTCGTTGCATCTCTTTTCTTTTCTATATACACTCACTTTCTTTTTTTTTTTTTTTAAATTTTTTGTTTATTGCAGTAACATTGGTTTATAACATTGTATAAATTTCAGGTGGACATCATTATACTTCTATTTCTGCATAGAATACATCATGTTCACCACCCAAATGCTAATTACAACCCATCACCACACACATGTGCCGCATTATCCCTTTTGCCCTCCTCTCTCCCTTATTCCCCTCTGGTAACCACCAATCCAATCTCTGTCTCTATGTGTTTGTTTATTGTTGTTATTATCTACTACTTAATGAAGGAAATCATACGGTATTTG